CGGGTTCTCCTCCGGGGATAGTTTTTTAAGGGCGTAAGCAGTAAAAAGGGACCGACTGGAAGCGTATTGTTTCTCACGCAACTTTTCACGGATTTCATTTAGCCCGCGATATAAGAGCCGCTGCCCTGGCTCCGGCTCCGGCCAGCCGTGGTCCTTTTCTTCGATAAAAATTCATTTCCCTCCTTTGATTTACCTCAAGCACCCGGCCAACCTCGTTCTCCGCGAGCTTCCTTTCTTCCGACCACGTCTTTGCGGGACCGGCTGCTCGGTGGTTCGCTCGGCGAAACGCGTGGAGGAACGCTCGAAACACCCCCGAGATATAAATTCCTTCGCACTGTCTCGGGCGCAAGCTGAAAAATCCTCGCGACCAACCACGCCCGCGACAAATCTCCCCGTTAGACCGTTTACCTTTATCGGTAATGGCTCGGTCGCTTAATGAATCTTCTCGAGAAGGATTGCGCGAAGCCGCTTTCGTTACCTCCTTAAATCCCCTCTCGTCGAAATGCTCGATGAAAAATTGCCACGTCCAAACCCGGTATTATCTCCACGGGGTCTTATCGCGGACCGCTATTCCATTTACGAGCGTACGTAACCTCGCCGACCGCGGGGCTACGAAATTCTTCCTACTTATTACATTTTTCCCGATACTTCCGTGTAACGTATCATTCGAAACGGTAACGATTTCGATAAACGCGCCGCGATAAAGCACGACGTATAGCCGAAGCTCGGAAAGTTCCTTGGGAACCCAGGGCCAGGTTCTCGAGAGTCGCGCTGCCCCGTTTTCGTGCACCCTATTAATTACCGGGGTACCGGCTCGCGTGATTCCAACTATTTATCCACTCACCCGCCGGTTTTCTTAGCCCAGCCAGGTCTTCCTTTTTTCCGGTCGACCTCGACGGAGCGTCTGAAAGGGCCACGAGAGAGACAGGGAGAGACAGGGAGAGAAAGGGAGAGACGGTCAATGGAAGAAGAGAGAAGCTCGGCGCAGGATCGGCGAACGATGGTGCGCGGAAGGACAAAGGAAGACGGACTTCCGGTTGGCCGTCGGAACACGCGGGCGCGGCTCGCGTCTGATATTTCCGAAAAGTTTCGAACCTGGGAGCTCGTTCCACGAGGTCGCGCACGGGGACGGTGCGGTTCGGAAAAGAGGGTTGAAACGGCGAGGAAGGCTCGCGTGCACGTAGCACCGTGGATGCCGAGAAAAAGGGGCGGAAACGGGGCTTAGGGAACGCTAAAGGGTGGTTTCTTGGGCAGAGAGAATGGGTGGAAGGAGGCGAGTCTACCGAGATGAGCCGTATCTTGGGGGATAAGTATCGAACCTGAAAATCGCGACCAAAAACCCGACTGGCGCAGCAACGTCATGCGGAAAACGACGAACTGGGTCGACGTCGAAGAGTTTCGTTGCAGTTGGCTGGTCCAATCGAGTATCTATCCTCTCTTCCTTCTATCGTGTCCTTCTTCCATCTTTTCCAAACCCGTCCGCACCGCCCCCGCGTCCCGTTCATCCCGTATGCGGGGACTCGAAACTCTGGTCCGACTGTTTTCCTCATCTCCGACGAAAACATGCTGCCCTTGTACTGTCGTCGAGACAAATACCGAGTGCACCGGAGGCGGCGGCGACGACTGTGGGGCCAGGCGGGCGCTGGGATCGCGGAGGATGGAAACTTTTCCACTGTTCTTTTCGTTTATAATTTATGTTTCCCCGAGCACACGGCCGAGACACCGTTTTATCGATTCCGTTACGTAAACATCCAGCACGGTTTTTGCCGCGCGCTCCGCGATGCACTTAGCTGTTTAAACTGACCGGCTTTTGTTCGATCGCGGAACCGCCGTTGAAAGGGAATCCCCTTTCGTCGCACGGAGCCGGAAACCGTCTGCGACGCGCCATCGCGTGGAATCGGTAATCCCTTCCGAGATCGAACGCGAATTTTCGTCGAACGAAACCGTCCTACCTTCGATCGCGCCGAGGATACGTATCTCCGTCCACAGACAAAAGCTAGGAAATAAACCAACGATTGCCGAGTTCCGCGGTACACGGATGGTAATTAGAAATAGGCAACGAGATGCGTGTCGCGTGAGAAAGACGGTTCGTAGACGCACCGTTTCAGGTATCAGGCGTAAACATCGAGCACCAATTAGGCGGCCTACAAGCCGGCTTATCGTTTTACGCTGTTCGCTATAATTCCAATAGAACGTGGCGCGTGTTGCTGCCGCGCAAACAGTGCGTTGACATGTCCGTGAAGCTTGTGCAGCGCATGCTAACCGGTCGAGACCCTAGAGGAAAGGGCTGACCCCTCCTATGTCTAGATAACTCGGTTACGTTCCAATATCACGATTACACGTCATCCTTGGCAGTTGACAATCCCTGGAGTAATGACTATTGTGGAACGGTCGAAATGGTCACCGGATCACGTCGATCGCTTAAATTCTTCAGCCGGCAGAGAGCGTGGCTCGTTTGTCCGCTAATCTTCGCGATCAGGAAGACGTACGAGCGTGTGCACGTTTCTGCTTTAATTTCGGGACGCAACGTTGTTCTTCGAGGAATTCGCGTTTTTCCATGAACGCGGCACGCGCGAAACTTTCCTCGTTCCCAGCACTCGGTCTGGCTAACAATTTTCCCCCACTCGTATTCGAAATTTCGAAATCGCTTTGGCGAAATTTTATCGCTCTTTTTCCCTGCTACGGTACCGGCACACCCTAACGCGCGGAAAAAATTTCGCGTGTATACCGAGTCGCTAATTAGCGGCGAAGATGGCCGGGTCTCGGGAATGTTAATCGAGCTTGGTCGTTCGAGAGATTATCGATTTTAGGCTGCCCAGGTCTATGACCTAGGATTTTTATTACCGATCGAACCGGTCGATTCGGCAATGCTTTCGGTGGGAGCAAAACGAGGCGTGTGCTAGCAGGAACGTAGTGCTCAGACCTTAAACATATCCTACGCCGTGGAGAAGGTATTCAACGTCAGTCGTAGTTGCGCCACTCGTACGACAGAAGGAAGCACACGCCGGTGTGGTTTTCCCGCCAAGTTCATTCAGCATCTTGCGTTGGATGTAAGCCAAATACCGAATACACCAGCGCCTTCCGCCTCCTCGTTCCTCCTGCTTGCCTCGCCGCCAACCGTTATCATCCCGGAATGGCAAGTTGATGTTGCCCGTGTTGCTAACACCACTGGCGTCGCTCGTTTATAGAACAAGCAACACCGGGCTGTAATAAGGTCGGGTCGCGGCCCTATTTCGCGATATTTCGCGACCAATTGTTCGCGACGTTACAGGGAACCAACGCGACAGCCAAATCCGGCCGGAGTTATTGGCCGCGTTACTTCTGCCGAGTATTTCCTAAAGGACTCCGTGTCCTTCGCAGCCGTCGACGGGATCACGGCGCACTCGGAAATGAAAAAAAGAAGGAGCAGGTACACACAGATCGGCTGTCGTCGAGCGATAGCGAAAGCGAAAGGCGAAACGAGCGGGGTGCTCTCGAGTTTTTTAAACGATTTAATACCCGCCGTCTCTAGCTCGCTGCAACAAGTTATCAGCTCCTCGCAGACTTCCCGCGAACCGAGCTTTAATAGTTCGAAATAAATTCCTCTTTGATCGACGCCGCGATGCACGGAAATGGGGATGAACGGGACGAGTTACGCTCGCGGGAAATTTTCGCCAGGATCAAAGACGTAGATCACGACTCTGTCGCGGCGGAGAAACTCGCGTTACCCTTTCTCCCAGAATTGGCGAAGAAAACGGAGGAGCGATACGAAAATCGCGGGGTGGCGACTTGCTCTAAAGCTGTTTTTTCGCGAAACCACGCCGCGTGCTTGGGAAACGAGCGACCAGGGCGCGGGTGTGCGTAGCGTTCATAGTATTGGCAGCGAGCCAAGTCACGTTGCGGCTCAATGAAATCTTTCTAGGTTAGGTTAGCCCCTTCCTTCCGCGTTAAGCGTAGGATACGTTTACACCGAGTCGGTAGACGCGCGAGAGAGGAGCCTGGCCTACGGCCAGCCAAGGGAACCGGGCGAAGTGGCTGGTTTTCGGCTCCGGCGGAAGTAGTGGTGGTCAATATTGGTCGGACCGAGGGCTACCCGAGCGCGAGCTCCTACTACTCGCAGGCACCGCTTCGTCATGGCTGTTCGATTACTACTCGCGTCGACTAAATTCTCGGAAAGGAACCATCCTCGTCTCTACCCGGGACACTCTCCAACGCATCGTGGTACCATCGTCGCGAGTGTTTCGTTGGATTTGGATTTTTCGCGAGCTCGGTCGAGGACAGACTCGTCCGAGTTGGAGGCAAGGAAACACACGCTCGATCCGATATCGCGCGATGCGAGGAGTCGAGCTCGCGGACGCGTAACAAGTAGTCATGCACCGAAAATGCACCGTTTCGGCATCGGTGCAACACGGCTCGCGAGCACGATCCGGCGTTCCCCCCCCTGACGTGTTCACTCGACTCGAGCGTTCTCCCCCTACCGCGTTTCTATCCCGCCGTCAAGCGAGCGTGGCGTGGCGAGGAGGAGCAGTCAGGCAGTCAGGCTCTCCGCTGGCATTAAGTATTCCCGTTGGGTCGGCGTGGCGAGGAGGAGCACGGAGTGGCGCGGAGTGGCGCGGAGTGGCGCGACGCGGCGTGGCGCGCGGCGCGTCGGTCGATGCTGGGGTGCTCGCGAAGGAAGGAAGGAAACGGACGAGAAGGAGAAACGGGACCGACGCTCTCCCTCTTCCTATCTCCGTCCGTGTCTCCGTCCCGGTCGCACCAGCGAGCTTTCTCCGGCTAGAATCGAGAGGCGCTATCCCCCTCGAGCGACGCCAGCGCCCCGGGGGCGCCTGCGCGCCTCGGAGGGGTAGCGGTCGCCTGATAGTGGCGAAACCGACGGCAAGGGGAAAGGGGCCCCTCCCTGTTCTATCCCTCGCTCCTCCAGCGTACACCCCACCATCGTGAGCCGCGCGGCTCCGCTACCTCCCCTCGCTACGGCTCCACTGCCCGGGCCTCCACGGTCGCCCCATTCCGTTCTCGGCATCACAGCGTACAGCATTGAACTCGACGCACGACGACAAGGAGCGCGACAACGACCACCTGCCTGCCTCTCTGTGTTCCACGGATTATATCTGTCTCTCTCTCTTTCACCTTCTCTCGCTGATCTCGTTTCACCGTTCCGTTCCGTTCGTCTTGGTGCACGCTGCTCTGCTGCCGCCGCCGCCGCTGCTGCTGCTGTTGCCGCTGCCGCTGCCGCGAGAAGAGGATAACGGAAGGAGACGAGGATAACGAGCGTTCTGTCGGCTGCTGCGATTACGCTCGTTCAGGTGTCCCGGAGAGATATACCCAAACACCGTGAACCGGGAGATATCACGCGTGCCGTGTATACCGAGAAGAGAGAGTACGGTACGCTCGAAATTTGCTCGACTCCGGCGTGTGGCTCTCGCAGTGCGTCCACTCTTTCGGCTACGTTTCTTTACGCGTGTTGCCAAAGGCTCGCTCGTTCGCTCGCTCCGGTTCCCAGTGCCCGCGAGTAGCGATCACCACGATTACGTGACAAGTGTGTACCGCGCGCGAATGTAAGCCGTTCGACCAACATCGTCGCCGAAGGAGGATCGTAGCGCATCGTCGTTCGATCCACCAGCTGTGAGTTTGCAGACCAATCGGATCGCCTTCGTCGCCTTCGTCGTCGTCGTCGTCGTCGTCGTCGTCGTCGTCGTCGTCGTCGGGGTTGTCGTAGCCGTCGTTCGGAGTGTGCCAGATATCCTAGCCGTAGCCTGACGCGCGATCGTCAGCCTGGTCGAGGTCAGATCGACGCACGAGAGCTGTCACGAAACGATCGCGACGTTCGCGACGTCCCTTGGAAGCCGTGGGGAGCAAGATATACGCGCGTGTGCTGAGAAAGCACGAGCGTGTGAAACGAGGCATCGTCGATCTCTCGGTCGTTCGTTTCTCCTCTCGCGGAGGAAGGCCATAGCGTTGATCGCACGGCACTCGGTACTCGCGGCAGTACTGAGTGACCTGCAGCACCCGGCAGTCATCGAAAAGTGTACACGACGGCGGTCACCACGTACATCACGCCGCTCATCACCCCAGAGAAGGTACGGTGGCTCCATTCAAAATCTTTGTCCGATAATCCTGTCTATGTATCGTTACGCTGGGTGGAACGGGGAGAACGATCATCTCCAAGGAAATTGTGTGTCCCGGTGAACCTGTGTAGGTGTATCGATGTTTATACGCTCGCGTATCTCCTATACTACCGGTTACCTATGTATGTACCAGTACATACGCGAGTGAGCGCGCGTATGTGCGAGTATTAACGTCGTGCGCTGGCTGCAGGCATGTGTGTGGGTGGAGCTTGATCCTGGACGTCATCCGTCGGACAGAGACGGACTAACCCAGCTCGCTGGATCTCTCGCCGAGCTCGCTTCTTTTCTCTTGTCCCCTTATCTCTCGCACCGTTTATTTCCCCCGGACAATGTGCAGTGACCGAAAAGTTTCGCGTAGATGACGTTCCAGCGATGTTTCGCTACCCCGCGTCTCCCCGCAACTTCCGAAATCCTTCGCCGGAGAGCATAGTTCCTCGATGCGTCGAGACCTTTCACGTCCATGTCGCGCGATCTTCCATTCTTTCCTCCGTCTCGCTCCGTCTCATCCCTTCGGTATCTCCTTCTCCTTCTCCTTCGCCCCCTTTCTCCATGGTCGACGTTTTCTTCCGCTCGCGAGTCCCCGGTAACTTTCGTCCCGCTGACGTCCGCGAGGTACGAGCCAATTGATAGGATTCGTCGAGAAGAAAAGTCCGCTGGCCACCCCCTTGGTTTCTCGCATTGAAACGCCAGGGGTAAAAAGTTCCGTCGGCAGCTCTCTCGTTTGGTCGCGGACGCGAGCTCTTTCAGAAGTCGCGCGGCGATGCCGTGCCCCGCTGCGTTGAATCGGTTAAAGGAATTATTAACGGAATTAATAAGTCGAGTGGTCCGGTCGAGGGGCTGGGAATACTATTTCCTTTTCGCCGGAGAGAGATTACCGTGGTTCCTTATTACGTTCTCCGTCCTCCCAAGCAAACTTATTATCTTAGGTCCTTTGGCTCTCGCCGCGAAACGATAACGAGATCGTTACTTTCGAACTTCCCGCCTCGCGACCGCCGCTCGATAATTATATTTCCACCTTTCCACCGGTCAGTCCCGGAGCTACGAAGAACGGATCGCGCGTTCTCGCCGAGACGATTCGCGACTCGCCGTCCACCCTTTCTAGGCCACATCTATCTCGTAGTCACTTTGTATCGAGATTTTAAATACGTTAACCTACTTCCTCTGTACAGGTACCTCTCTCCCGCCGTTTGATCTCCAACAAACGTCCCCCTCTATCCTACAAGTAGTCGGACAAGTACGACAAGTCTGTTCCTCGAGTCGATTTCAATTTACTCGCCGATGAAAATCGTTTCCCGATTTAAAGTACACAATCCCGGTTGATGGGATTTTTAATTAATTCCTGCCGCGCGTCTGCCGCCGGAGAAAAAGTAACGTTTCCACGGGCGTATCGAGTCGCGTCGCATACATTAAAACGATCATTAACGAGCTCGCTGATGCGTCGAGTGATAGGGTGCTGTAACGCGGCCGAGATTTAGGTCGCGACCGATTTTTTCCATTCCGCTTTATTACACCGAACGAACCGCGTTGTCGAGAGTATCGGCTCCAGTGATTGCGTGGATAATCCGCGGCTTCGAATCTTCCAGCCGCTCCCATCTCTCTCTCTCTCTCTCTCTCTCTGCATTTCTCTCTCTGCCTTTGCCTCACCCTCTTTTCGCGCGTCAGCCATCGAACGTCGATGCGTTCCCCATTTTCCTCTCCTGACACTCCTTTTTGGACCCGCGAGTCTAAATTCGATTCCATCGCGACAGACTCGATTTCAATTCTCACCGATAGCCCCGCGCACTCGAGCACGTATGCTCTCCAACGACGAACGCCGACATATTTCTCCGCGTATCGCGAGCGCCGGTAGATTTGCTCGTATATCACGCGTAAACAAAAAGCGAGACACCTGACTGTCGGCCGTGGAACGCGGAATTTATGGTCGCTCCGATCTTCTCCTCGGCGATAACGCTTGCCCTTAAGTTCTCGCTTTTTCGTTGCTCCGTGTCCACTGTCGGGGGTAGTACTTACTCCTCGCGGGGGGCGAAAACGGGATGAAATTAAACGACGCGTGGTACTCTCGTGTTACACGCGATGTTCCCTGTAAACGCGTGTACAAACGGACAGTCGAGTGTTCCTCGGTGGGAAGAAATTATTAACGTGGTCCAGCGGCTACTTCTGTCGCGAGATGCCAGGGGGTGTAATTAAGTAGTGGTATCGCGTGATAGTCAGGCTCGCGAGCAACAGTTGGACGGTGTTTAACTTCCGTGGCGTCCCGGACCCCTCGATTCGCGAGTGTCTTCGGTGCTTCCGTTCGAGGTATCCGTCCATCTCGAGAACCCTCGACACGGGCACGTTCGCGACGAAAGGGTGGCGGGAACGTACGAACTCGATAAATATTTTTCATTCAATCGCGCGAAAAGTTTCCTCGAAGCGCGACTGAGACGGGGCTGTTGATTAAACGTTACAGGGGTGAAACGTATTATTACTCGCAGAAAGACTTTTTCTCGAAACGATACAGTCCTCCGATTGTCCGTCTTTTCTCTCCTCTCTCTATATATATATCTTTCTTTTGTCTTCGTTTCTTTTTCTTCTTTCCTCGACCCGCAGGCCGCACTCGAGCCGCGGCGTGGAAACGCGAAAGTTTGCGGCAGCGCGACGAATGCCACGTTCTCTCCTGTTGAACGCACACGGCCATCGTTGGCCACGGATTTCTCCGCGGAAAGTAGCTCGGTTTGCTCGTTCCATGGCCGCTTTGCGCGAACGAAAGGGACGTAAGCGGATTTCGCGGCGGTCGCTTACTTGCTGGCCGAGAACGCGACCCGGACGTCGGCTCGTTATACCGTGGGAGACGAATTAAAAGGACGGGCGACGGCCACGATCCCGAAGGGAAGAAAAGATTCGTGGAAATCGGAATCTCGCGGCGAGTCCAAGCTACTTTGGGATTCGCGAGCAGATCAGGCGGAGGGAGGCTAATCCGCTTTGCGAGTAATTATTCACAGTGACCGCTCTCGCGAGAACGTCTTCCTGGGCCACGCGCAAGCCTTGGTCTTTGATATCGATGATAATCGGATGAAGGAGAAACGGCTGGCCCGAGACGCGACGACTTTCCGTGTTTCTTCGTCCCTTGCTCGTCTCTCGCCGCTTCGAGGGCCGTAATGGCGGCGCTGTTGGAAGTTTCGTTACACTTTCCCCGGTGAAATGGCGCGGAAAAAATATGTTCGAATGGCTGGGAAATGGATCCGAATAATTTGGTTGATTCGTTTCTTATGGACGGCTGCGTGTATCGCGAGGGTTCTCGGGGCAGTGATTAAAGTGGCCATTTCCTCGGCTGGTGGAAAGAAATACCTGTTAGAGGGAAACCTCATAAAAACTGCTGGAAGATTACTCATAGTCGGTCGAGAGACTTCGTTATGAAAGGCGAAACGTTAGCTTTCGGTGTTGGATTTCTTACGTCTGATTATGTACGCCTGAAACCACTTCGTGGAAACGTAAATCGTTCGTTTGGTCGATACGTAATTATCTATCACGTTTTACCTCATTTTTCCCCATGTATTTCGTCGAATTTTCCTAAATTGATCATCCTTGACGTCGTTTCCAGGATACACTGGTGATAAAATCGGATATTTTTAATACGAACTTTTGATACCGTGAATATTTTTAACGAGTTAAAATTCTTGGCGAAACTTGGCGAAAATATTCCGACGCCTTCTCTTCCCTCACTTTCGATCGCTTTCACCGGACGAAAATCAGATACCTAACAAGATTGCACTGGGACCAATGGCGGGTGTAGCGCGCGGAACAAAGGGGAGGAACGATCACGCGTCACCGTTCGAAGGAATTAGGTGGCCGAATTCGCGAGTAACAGGGCTGTTTACATCGAAACGCTTTTAAATCCCGGCCGACTAGCCCGCCGGACCAGCCAGTCCCGGTTCTGAGGATCCCTGCAGCCCGTCACACACCCCCTGATGCCGTTGACAAACGAGCGAGATGCAAAAGTAGGTGACTCGGACCGACCACTTTCATCCCCTTGCGTTCAGCTAGGCGTGTGTGCACGGTACTTGTCGTTTCGCTGCAAACACAGAGAGAAAGAGTCTTCGAGTTTCCTCGCCGTTTTCGCGCCACATCCCGCTATTTGATATTTGTCACGTCTTTCCTTCCATGCCGGATTGACGTTCGTTCTTGCCGCGCTCTGTCCGCCTCCGAACGCGAAATGTAATTCCGCGAGACGCCCATCGTGTTTGTTGAATACGCTCGAAAGGTGTCGGCAAGGTTGTCTCTAATATTTGGACGTTGCAAATCGGATTCCAGGATTTTTCCAGGCACCGTGAATTATTATTTCCATTATTCCTCGGGGTGCGAATGTTCGGTCAACGGTGATCGAATAGGCGCGTTTATTCTCGTTTATTCCCATTTATTCGAATTTATTCTCGCGATTAAAAAGGATTCTTTGAATCAGACGAGTTAACACGGAGAACGATCAGGATACATGAGCGAGAAGTTCGGCAGTGTAACGCAATCGGTGAAGCCACGGTAATGCCGCTACAATTATCGCGTTAATCGCCTAATCAATTATAAATGTAGCCGGCCGCATTCCCGATTTCATAGAAAATTACTATTCATACGGAATAATACCGCATCGCCACACGAACACCCCTAATTTCCCGTAAATGCAGAAACCTCGGTATCCCCGTTGCATTATTAGCCAAACGATTACCTATTGCATTATTCACGCGGTTTGCCACGGTGTAATCGATCTATCGGTAATCGATCTCTATCCCCGTTCCACGACTTCGACGCCATCCGGCGAGAACCCTGTTTTTCTACGGCGATATTAGGAAAAACCGAAACGCGAATCGGTAACGAGGGTACAGGGGGCGAGAACGGTAGCCGGTCCCGATCGATGAGTAACGGGATACGGAGGAGAGGAGTCGCGAGACGCTCGTTTCGCCGTTAATTAACGATGGTCGCCG